CTAAACAAAAAAATGCTATGATTAATAATGATCAAAGATCTGCTTACTTCTCGTTTGCATCTCATTTACGTCCATCACGTTAAGTCTTAACTCAATCAGACTATACAACCGTCGCTGCTGACCACAGCGACGAACTTATTTCACCACTCAGATCTGACTACTACACCCTCCACGGGTTTAAAGCGCGCTATATAAATTGGTAATCACTATAGGAGTGGAAGTGTTTAGAAATAAACACTTTCGTAAACCCAAGTGATTGCTTAAAACCCAGCAAACTTCGCTGGTATCATCCCAAAATGTTCAATATAGGAGCGGCAGTGTCGTTGTAATACACGCCCGTAAACCGAAATGTTCATTCAAAAACCCAACAAACGAATCGTTGGTCTCTACGCGATAACGTGTTCATTATAGGAGCGGYCGTATCAATGTAGTACATGGTCGTAAACYGAAATGATCATCAGAAAACCCAACAAACGAATCGTTGGTCTCTACGCGATAACGTGTTCATTACCGGAGCGGCCGTGTCAATATAGTACATGGTCGTAATGATCATCGAAAAACCCAACTACTTAATCGTTGGTCATTACACAATAACGTGTTCTTTCTAGGAGCGGGCGCGTCGATAGAGGCTCGCCCGTAAATCAAGAAATAATCATCAGAAAAACCAACTCCTTAATCGTTGGTCATTACACAATAACATGTTCTTTCTAGGAGCGGGTGCGTCGATGGAGGCTCGCCCGTAAACCAAGAAATAATCATCGAAAAATACAACTACTTAATCGTTGATCATTACACAATAACGTGTTCTTTCTAGGAGCGGGCGCGTCAGTGGAGGCTCGCCTGTAAACCAAGAAATAATCATCGAAAAACCCAACTACTTAATCGTTGGTCATTACGCAACGTCTTCATTCTTGTAGCGGGCGCGTCGACGGAGGCACGCCCATAAACCAAGAAGTTGATTGGTAAACCTAGCTAACACATCGCTAGTCGCAACAATATAACATGTTCGTCTTTGATGCAGAATGGTCAGCGACAAACTGCTCGTAAACCAAAACGATCATTATTCAAAATCAACAGAAGAATCACTAGTCCCGAAACGATATAACAATAGCACACTTGGAGCAGGCTGATCAATACGCTAACGCTCATTTCAATAACTTAAGAGATCAAGCATCTTAACTGAAAACAAAGGAACGTCGATACAAAAATCTCTAAAACCCAACAAATAAATCGTTGGTCACAACACCTTTTGGATGAAACACCGGACAGACATCATCTTCGGCATTATCCAMGTCTGAAATGATTTCAAAAGCATCCACGTCGTGTTGACGGCGTAACCAAGAATCCAAAGAGTCATAAACCATTCTATTCGTTCTACCATCTCTAAAGCTTCGCCTAGTCAGGAACAACTTTTCACTTCAATGACTTCACTCCAGTTTTCCCATGATCAAATCCACTTCCCTCAAACTCACTTGGCGAAAAGCTGAATMTGTCATCTTCGAACTCGTTGTCAACACGAGGTCCCCTTGTCGAAGTCAACACGATTCCACCTCAATATCAAGTCAATACAAGTCCGCTTTGGCTTCAAGTAAACACGACCACCTCGTCGTCACCACGAGTCCACCTCGGCGTCGTCAACACGTGTCTACCTCGACATCAAATAAACAAGTCCGCCTTGATTTGTCCTTCCTCGCCAAGACAACCTCGTTGACTTGTCTTTTATCTAAAAACGACCTCGTCATAACCATGTCTCATCATCGCATCGATCAGACTTCGCCTCGCCGTCACGTTGATCAAGCTTTACCTTGTTGTCAGATTGAACAAGCTTCACCTCGCTGTCGCGTCACCTTCACTGACTTCGCTTCGTTGTCACATCGAACAAGCTTCGTCTTGCCGTCTCATCGAACATACTTCATCTTATTGTCGCATCAAACAAGCTTCGTCTTGCTGTCACATCGATCAAGCTTCGCCTCGCCATCGCGTCGATCAAGCTTCACCTCGCCGTCGCGTCGATCGGGCTTCACCTCACCGATCAAACTCTACCTCATCAACGTCACCTCGCCTCGACAGAATCACCTCATAGCATCATCACCACGTCAAGTCGTCGGATCCACATATCAACCTTGCGTCATCGTGTCACCCAATGTCTTTTGATTCAACTCCCGTCGTCGCGTCGATCAAGTTTCATCTCGATCAACCATCGTTAATCTCTTCAACTAGGACGAGGGCATTGGAGGACTCCAGTTTCATCGAACGATCGAGCCTTGCTCCGGAGAAAGAACCAGTCTTCTTCCAAGTAATGGAAGATCACCGACCATGTCTCAGGAATCATCTAAGTCTAAAATAGTCTCCACGCTATCCCTCTCGCACGAACAGTCACGCTGCGAGTCCATAGAGTCGGAAACCATTCTCTTCAATTCACCTCTCCGCTGCGCCAAAGAGCAACGATCTAAGTCAGTGTCGCTCCACGAAGCCAGCCTTGTTACCTAGTCGTCGAATCACCGAATCACAGAGCCGCTGAGTCGCCAAAAAAAAAAAAGTGTTGGTCGAGTTGACTCAGTCGCCGAGTCAACTCGGTGCGAATTAACTCAGTGAGTCAACTCGTACGAGTCAACTCAGTGGGTCAACTCGCGAGATCTCGAATCACCATCTTTTCCACTCGATCTTGCTCACCTCGCTTCGATTTCTCCTCGCTGTCGACTCTCCGGAAGCCCAACGACACCGCGTCTCACCGGCACGATCTCTCTCTCCTTGCCGCAGATCTCTCTCTCTCTTCACGACGTTCGACGGAGCTTGTCGTCGCTGGAATCACGATCCCATCTCTACCACGATAGTCATCACCGTCGAAGCCACGAGCAAGGACGAAGAGGACGACGCGATGGGGCTCGTGAATTACGACTCGCCAACCTTCTCCACCTCTCGCTCCCTCTCTATCTTGTCGGAATTGCCTTCTCTCACTCTCGATCTCGTCTGGAAACTTCTCTCCCTCGATCTTATCGGACAA